AAAAAAAAATCACGAAACAAATATGATAATAATCAGACAAGACTATTAAAATCTACCATAAACTCTCATTCATACACTATAGTTACTACATCCATTATCCATATATACACAATGAAAAGAGGAAAATCTCATCTATTATTGATTGTGGGACAAACACTAGGAAAAATTGTAATAAAAGTATATCTAAAAATAAATGGGGTGAGTACGTGACTGGTAATGGAACCTACATGTATAAAACTGTTACATTATATGTGTTCGTGATCCGCCCATTTTCATCTATCTCTAACTTCTACTACTTCACCGGCCCATTTAGGTTCGTCCAGCTGCTCTCGCGTCCGTCAGTAATTCATTCATACTAGTAATTCCACCCGTGCTATGCACGGGAGTGAAGATGTTTGGATCAACCATACATAAACTCAAAGAATTTCATAGTCAATTAACCAAACTCAAAACATAAAATTAAAAACTAAAACTAATTAATCAAATTGAAGCATAAAATAAAATAAGTATTCATATTTAATACAAAATTAAAAAATAATGCTCAAAGTTAAGTACAAATCATGATGCGATATACGTAGCAATGAGTATGGATCTATGTAAAGCTTGCAATAGGATGAATATAAACTGCTAACACGAATGGGGTGAATAAAAAATGCTAACACGCATAAAAAATGTCAGAATTGATCCCCCTTGTGTCCCGTTTGGGTGGCCCTTGATGGGCTACCGATTCATCTTCATGATGCTAGAGCTTTGTTCTCTATTGCTAGTTTATTGGGCAAACCACTCAAAATTGATGCTCCTACTGCTAATTATTCCAGACCAACCACAGCTAGAATTTTGATTGAAATTGATATTGCTAAGGATCTGCCTCCCAAAATTTGGATTGGAAATGGTGATACCGGTTTTTTTCAGACTGTTGTTTATGAAAATTTACCAATTTTGTGTCATTCTTGCTCTCGATTTGGCCACACATCTCTGGTTTGTCCCCGGGCAACCAAAACACTTGTGCAGGCCACAAAAAATGTTATGATTGCTCCTTGTGCCCCTGTAATTAGTAAAGCAACTGCCCATGCAGCCTCCGGTGCCCCTGTCCCTTTACTTAAAGATAAAAGCCAGGTTTCAGATATTGATATGGCAGCGATTTCCACAGACTGTGTTGCTTTACAGGATCAAACACCAGCTCCTATCAGTTTGGTTGGTATTGAAGCACATGTTTTTAATCATCTAGAAACTGAAGTTTTTAATGATAGTCAGGTTTCTGATTGTGTTGCTCAACATGTTCAAATGTTCAAACTTCAGTTCCTACTTCCCCTAAGAAACTGGTTGATATTACCCCTACTGTTATGGTTGCTCATGCACTTCGAAATGATGCCTTAGGCTTAGGCACTCATTGTGCCCCTTTACAACCTGGTTTTGCAGCAACCTCCGAAGGCCCTATAGAGTGTGCTGATTCTGAATCTGTCCCTTACGTTGAATTTGGTTTTACAACCAGTAATGAGGAAGCTGGTCCTACATATGGTATTGGTATTGAAACTGACCCTGTTGAACTTACTGTCCCAGCCCCTTTTGATTCTGGTTTAGGAGCCAGTAATGGCTGCCTGACAATTTTGGATACCACGGTAGCATTTGATGAATCCCAGGTGGCCACCTCTAGTAAGGCGGTAGCCGTTGATGTAGTTCATCCGCAGTTGATGGTGCCCACTGATACTCCCTCGATTGATACTTCTGCTGCCAACAGAAAACACACCACAAAAACGGGAGATGAAGAATTTTTCTCTGATCCCCACGAAGTTGATACTGCAGAAACCACTTCCTTTTCCAACTATGATCATAAATTGGATACCTGTGATGCTAGTCATACAAATAATCTCGACGAAGAAAACCTTGAAGGATTTACACAGGTTAAAAGAAGAAGCAGCAAAATCATGATCTCAAAAACCCAACCTAATGAAGCTACAGAAGAGGTACAACAATACTATGAAGTGGGCTATACATCACATCCCATGATCACCACAAGCCATTCAAAAAAATCTCAAAATGAAACAGACTATTTTCTATACCCAGTTGACGAAAGGTTTGGCTCACCGCATAAACTAGCGGCAGCTCTGCAGCGTTTCAGGTTATCTCGTCCGAAGGAAAAAACTTTCAGGCCATATTTAAAGAATACCATCAGGTTTCATAACAAATATAACAGAGCAATATCTGCTGTAATTGGGATCCCATCGAAGAATTTTAATTGTTGATGTACTTTTTCATTTTTCTTTCACTTTTCTTGTCCTTTAATCTCTTGTACTCGCAACTTTATTTTAATAAATCAGGGAGATGTTCCCCGGCACCCCCATCCACCTAGTGTGGATTAAGCCAGAAAAAAAAAAGTCAGAATTGATGAAACAAAAATGCTAAATACACATCTATCTTACAAACCATCATTACATCCAGGGGCGTAACCAGGAGTAAGAGTTGGGTTGGGCCGGCATAGAGAATTTTTACAGATAATTTTTTACACATAAATTTTTACATTAAAAATATAAGCAATTTTAAAATTTGGGCTGGGCCGGGACCCGGTTGGCCACCCCACAGCTTCGCCCTTGATTACATCTCTTCTTTTTTTATTCTCATCTATACTAAGACCAATGTTCTAAAAGGCGCTAGGCGCTAGTCGGGTGCCTGCCCATCGTCTAGCGCCTAGGCGGCAAGGCGGGCGCCTAGGCGGGGACTAGTCGGAAACATAGAAATTATAGTTTTATCATTTTTTTGCACAAATACGATTAGTAATGTTGTGTTTTGGCGTGTATAAAAATATGTATACACATTAACATGCATGAATGATAGAATTGTCACATTTAATAATATATTATTCCTACTGAGATCACTTAACTTCATTATGTAGTAAATATTACTCCCTCCGTCCCATTTTACATGTCTTACTTTCCATTTTCGGTTGTCCCAAAAGAAATGTCACATTTCCCTTTTTGGAAAGAAATATGTGATTTACAACATTTCGCTTTACTATACTCAAACCTCAACTAAAACTTTTACCTTTTCAACCACTTTATTAAAAATTGTGTCAAAACGAAATGAGACACATAAAATGGGACGGAGGTAATATTAAATAATAATAATACTCAAGTTTTTATCATAATCTACAACTAATAGCTTTCTTGATGTGCGTTGTTAAAGTTAAGGGTATATATATTTCTAAGAATACTAAAAAGCAAAATAAAATGTTCGACAAATCTAGACGCCTAGGCGGCCGATTAAGCACTCTGGGCGGGCAACTAGGCACCTTAGGCGGTCGACTAATTCACCTAGGCATTAAATCAATTAGTCAGAGCGCCTAGACTAAAATCGGGGCGCCTGCCGCATGGCCACCGCATAGCGCCTAAGCGGGGACTAGTCAGACACCTAGAGCGATGTTTAGAACAATGACTAAGACGCATGAGGTGATATTTCGTTACAAATACTTATAGATATCTGAGTTTTTTATACTCAGCCTAGGGTTGGACTCGGGCCGGGCCGGGTTAGGCTAGGGTTGGATTCGGTTCGGGCCACCCGGCCCGGCACTGTGCGGGCCCGGTCGGGCGGTCCGGGACCGGGTATGGACCCGAACCGATGGGAAGGGGCGGGGCGGGCTCGGTTCAGGATTATTGTGACCCGGCCCGGCCGGGTCGGGCCCGGGCCTCTTTTTTTTAAAAAAAAAAATTTGATTGGTTGGGCTACTATCCGTTGGGGGTGGGGCTGGGGACAACCCAAACGGCTATATAGCCGTTGGGTGGGGTAAAGGGGGGGGGGGTCCGGGGGGTTGGCTGGTAGGAGGGGGGTGGGGGGTGGGGGGTAAAAAAACCTATAAATACTCCTAATCTTAAACATTTTTTCATATCTCTTCTCCAATTCTTCCTAAATCCTATTCTTAACTCTCTACTCTCTAATTCTCTTATTCTCCAATATATTATATATCTACTCTCTAATTCTCTTCTCCAAGAAGTTAAGATGGAAAATCAAGATGCCATTATACGGTATAATTTTGATAAGCAGAAGAACCCGAAGACCGGGATGTGGTACGCAATTTGCAAATGGTGCGAAAAAAATGTATCATGGGGGTTTCAGGCAGATTCGGGATGACAATCAAGCATATGAAGTCATGTGACAAAGCCAAAGGATCGGGAGGTGCGGGAAGTTCCGATTGATTACAAATTTACAATTTTCAAAATGTTTATCTCTTAAAGTTTGTTTTAATTTTCAAATGTAGTTCCTATTTCATTTCAAATAAATGCAATTGAAGTTTGTTTTTAATACTCGTATAAAACTATAAACTATAAAATATAAATTATATAAAAAAAAATTAACCGGCCCGGTCTGAATCGGACCCGACCCGTGACCCGGGCGGGTGGCCCGGCCCGAACCGGACCCGTCCAACCCTCGGGCCGGTCCCGGGCCCACTTTTCTTGAACCGGCGGCCCGACCCGGACCCGACCCGACCCGAATCCATCCCTAGGTTAGGCCTAGGCCCGGACGGGCCGGAGGTTTAGGAATGGTGGACCCGGGATCGGCCCGGGTAGCCTCCGGGTCCGGGTCGGGCCTCCGGTTTGGGTATTTTTTTTTTTTTGCTTTCCTAACCCCCCCCCCCCCCCCCCCCCACCTCACCCCATCCTCCCAAACCCCTCCTAACCATCAACCCCAACCCGGGTGGAACCCCAAAAAATGAAAAAAAAAAACAATTTGGCCCGAACCCGGGCCCAACCCAGCCAAGCCGGTTCGCCAAATGTGAGACCCGAGCCCGGACCCGCACTACCCACCGGGCCTAGGCCCGACCCGGACCCGAACCCAAGAACCGGGCCGGTCCCGGTCCCGCTCAATAGCGGGCCGGGCGGGTCCACGGGCCGGGTGGCCCGACCCGAGTCTAACCCTAACTCAGCCCTTCCCATAACATTTTTGAGCTGCAAGTTCCTTTCCTAATACCTTATTTAAATTTCAAATTAGAAATTCTACAACCAAAATTTATAAAGTGAGCATCACACAGTGCATCTTGTTGCATATGCTGTCAGTTATGCCCACCAATTAGTAAGACCAATACCAATTGGTGAAACGTCCTATGTGGATTATTATGTGCCACTACAAACACAGTCTTATAACAAATTCACAACAGCTGAACAGAAAAAATGTATAAGTAACACTACCACAACCATCTTAATAATATCACCTGAGATGAGCATAGCATATTGCGAAGAAAAAAAACAAACTAAAAGAACTATAAATCTAGAATAAACAGTGCATAAGTTGAAACGTTGTGAGTGTGTGACACAGTCATCTGCCAGTCTACAATGCCAGAGTGGTTACTGACTCCTCTTCCTTAGCCTCCTCTAGCCACTTCACGAAGTGCTCCAGCGATTTCACAAATGATTGTCTGCCAATAACAATAATTGATTTTAATTACTAAGGTAAATATGTCCACAAAAACAGAAGAGAAGAGTATGGCTACCAAAATAGAGAACGAAAGGTTCACAACTTTACCTGACCTTGGGATTTGTTCCTTTGCATGCAGAACCAAGGAAGGATGGTGTCTTCTGTCTTCAGCAAGGACATCCTGGTCAAAAAGTAACCTTATGTTTTCAGGGAACAATTTCATCAGCTTAGCGTCCTCATAGCACTGCGCTTGGACTTTGTATATCAGTTCCAGCTCCAGCTTCACGCTTGTGTAAAATGCATTCAACAACTTCGCCCATGTTTTCACCTATAGAAAAAATGAAGAGCCCGAAATATATAAAAACGTATGAGGACTTGAAGAAGATAAATCAAATTGGGTAGATGAAAAAGTATCACCTGACCAAAGTTGTAAACAGAAATATCACACCAAATTCAACATTTCCTATACACATAACTCATATGCACAACCATAGCACAAGACATTGTTAGTGCAAAGCTAGTGACAATAGCAGTTTATGTGATAGCATATTCCACTGCCACGGTGCCACCACACGTGTCATGATAGTAGCTACTGTCTGTTGCTACCAGAAACAATGGCTACTACTGTCCAGCGCCGGCAGAGGCTTCCACTGTCCAGCGCCGGCAGAGGCTTCCACTGTCCAGCATCACAGCCTATGGCAGTTGCTGTTGTCCCATGCAGCCTCAGGCGTAGCTACTCTGTATCCTAAACATGAAATGCTTTCCAATATGATATGTCGGGACTAAATATTGAAGTCTAAGTACCAAATTATAAACAAAAGGTATTTCTTTGGACAGGCATTTCAAAATTATTTACGTGAAAAAATTGATCTTTCACTAAGTACTACCTTAAGACTTAAGGATATGTTTGGAATTTGGATGACAGAAAATGACTGGGAAAGGAGGGAACGGCTAAGGAAGATTGATCCCTTTTCTTCCATACTTGCCCCATATTCTCCCTGTTTTCTTTCTTTGTCATTTTCCAAAATCCAAACCGACCACTAAGTGACATAATAATAAAAACGAAAAAATGCAGTGGTAAAGAACACAGGTTCATCAACTTAGTGAACCTGTGTCATTGATGAAACTGTGTTCTTTACCTCCTAAAAAGTATCTACACATTAGCATGAGTCATTGATAAACATAAAAAGAAAGTAATTAAATACTTGCAGCATCCGAGGTTGATTTCTTGTCAAAATTAATGGCCCTCAAAACACCAAACTTCACTGGTTGTGCTACTTCCAACTCATGCTCCATCTTAAGTGTATAGATTTTGCTCTGGAAAGGAGATCAGGAGAGAGTTAACCAAATACGGAGTAACATACATTGAATCTCATAAAATTAGTCTAAAATAAGCACAAAAAAGGATTAATAAAATACTCTGACTCTCCGAGCAAAAGTCAACACGAACTATTTGTTCTCAGGCTCTCAGCATTCATTATTTATTTAGCTAATAGTTTCCAAGTACCAAATTATAAACAAAACGTATTACTTTGGATAGGTATTTCAAAATTATTTACGTGAATCCATTGGCCTATGTATCAGAACATTACACCATTAAATCAACTGCACTATGGAGTCCCAATCACTTGGCGCCATTGAATTAACTTTATTGTACCCAATTAAAACCTTCAACACACAAACACAGAGGATATGTTATTTTTTGACTTTTTATCATCTAAAAGGTCACCAATCTTATATTATTGTTTATATTTTCAATAATCTGGGATAACATAATTACTACATAAGAAACTTTCACTAAAAAAGAAATTTCAATTTTTTGTGCTAGCTTCAGTGTTCATCCTATCCAATATAATATACAGATCGAACAACTATGAAAAATTACATGTTTAGATTCAGGTATAAAATATATCAACATTTACTTAAACTTATTCTAATAATTCCAGTAAATATAGATTACCCTAACTTAACTCACCCAACCATCGATGTTTTTTATACCGGCTGCAGCTCCTTCCAGTGTTAAACCAAACCCCATTCGGAACTTGTTTAGCTACAAAATATTTGGAAAAGGAATTAGTATTTTCTCATCACAATGAATTTCTTAGATTTGTAGTTGAAACCATAGGGATATACTCCCTAACTAACTTTGGCCCCTGAAGTCTGAAGATGTTTGAAAAGGTAAAAAAAATGGCAGGGAAAGTTACTTCTTATGTTTAGTTTGATTTAGTTTGATTTTCAGAAAAGAAAGACAACCCAAAGCAAGCTTCAATGTTTGATCAGAACACAAACAAGATAGTAGAAAATTTTAAAATCTTAATAGTTAATCTATTACTTTGAATATAAAAAAACAAATAAAGCACTACAAAACTACAAAATTAAATACAAAAACAATTAGTTTTAAATAAGGATAGAAACGCGGTTGAAGGCGGCTCATAGCAGCATCAGAAAACTGTCTGCTTCACCTTGTCTAAGAACACTGCATATTCTTCTTCATCTCTTCCACCCCAATATTAATAATGAAGAAATAATTAGGTTAATAATTAATGTATATAATATTGTGCGCTGGAATTAGGACTCTACTACTTAAGCTCGTTCTTTAATAGATGCGGAAATCTTATCTAAAAAATAAGGTTACAGGGCATTATTAATAATGTAGTAATAATTCAGTTAATAATTAATCTAAATAATAATTACAAAAAAACAGTAATCAATATACACCGATCATTAAGGAGCACTCTTAGTAACTTTGGGTTACTAATTTTCATATTAATTATTAATACGATAATAGAAATCTAAATTTTAGTTATAAAAGAAATCTAAATTTTAATATTTGTATTATTATTTATTAATAATTATATTAGTTCACCTACATTATAATAATCAGAAAACATTAAAATAGTCTATATTAAAATTATAGAAATCATTGATTAATTAACTGCAGCTCCGCCATCCTTTTTCATTCAGAAAACATTCTAAAACACATTAAAAGAACTTTTAAATCATCTCACATTAAAGCACTAAACAAATGTGAAAATCACAAAATAAAGAATGTAGTTATGACCATATATGTAGTCATGAATCAACATTTCGTAAGCCAAATCACTTTCAAACCATTCTTGACAATATATGTAGCCATGAATCAACACTGACTTAATTAGAAATTTCATTGGAAAATTGGTGCACCAAGGATTTTTTTTGACATAAAACATGTCATTGTGAAATCAAATTCATGCTCAATTGAAAAGTAAGTAAAAATTTAAGAAGCAGAATTTGCTCAATTGGCTAAAAATATATACCTTGGCATATCGAATAAGATACTCAAACTGGAAAGGGCATTTATTATATGTGAATATTGAAAAGTACGGGAATTAAAAGTATAGGAATAAGTGAATAAAAGAACAATTTCATACCCTTGAATTGCAGTATAATCTCCAAATGTATCATCAATCTATCTTTTATTCATTCCAATTATAGTAGGTCCATCAACCTTATGTGTAATGGCATTATCTCCTTGCATGACAGGATCCCAAGATGAACAGGTTCTTCATCTCATTTGGTTTTATTTTGGATTTTAAAATGTCAGATCCATTTCCTGATGCGAACCCATTCTTGAAATATTTGGTTTCCATCTCTGAACTGAAACTAAGATTACCAATTTGGTGGATTTGATTCCTTATCATTGAACCCCACCATCCAAACTTGTCATGAGAAAAGAGATTTCCTGAAATGGTTTCATATGGAAATTTAAGATACTGAACAATTATAACCAAACCAAACAGCCCTGCAAACACTAAAAATAGATGACCATATATTGATTTGGTGATTTGGTGATTTGGTGATTTGTGGCTGTTTAGAGTGACACTTAGTATTGATTTGGTGAAAACCATACTTGCTGAACTAAATTTGCTTACCAAACTAAACTTGCTTTAAAGATTTAGCCACACTATCGTTGAACCCCACCATCCAAACTTATCAGAAGAAAAGAGACTTTCTGAAATGGTTCCATATGGAAATGTAAGATACTGAACAATTATAACCAAACCAAACAGCCCTGCAAACACTAAAAATAGATGACCATATAGAATCTGAATTTTCCTCTTTGCCTATTTTTTTAGTTCACTTCATGTTTATTTGCTATTATCATATTCTTTTGGTTATAACATCAGTGATACAGTCATCCTTTTTAGTTCACTTGCTGGCTGCTTAGAGTCCCTTTCAGAAACCATTTCAGGAAGTCTCTTTTCTCCTTTGGTTTTAAATAAAATTTTAGCTCCTGCTCATAAATTTTAGAGTAGTTTGTTTCAATTGAGAGTAGATATATATATATAAGAATTATTAATTGATTATTAGTATCATTTGGCAATTTTTACTTGTTCTCTAGATTAACTTCCGTGCCTGTCCTAAAATGTGATATGGGGGTTAACAATTTTTTATCCTTTGATGATGCATTAGAGATGATAATAATTCTGCAGTGCCCATATTTGACATTCACATGACACCATTTGAAATCTTCTCTGTGAAATTGTTGTGATCTTGTGGTGCAAAGTACAATGTACTACTCCCACAATCCCAAAAAAGAGTTTTGTTTGTTTAAGTACAACTTTTTATTTGTACTTTTGTAGTGAACTCAATCAAGGTCAACCTATTCAAAGGTTTTAAGGAGTAATTGCTTAGAACTGCTTGTGTTTGGCTTTGCAGGAATTTGAATTTAAAATGATATCTGACTTTTGTACCAGACTCTCTTTTTTGGACACAAATAACAAACTTAAATCATGACTTTTTTTTGGGAGCAAGGCAGTATATTTTAATTTTCTTTAGTTCAACTATGTGTGCCCATGGGTTGAGTTCACAACTCACAATTGTTATGGTGGTTTGCAGGGAGCAGCTGTGACCTTAGCAGAGATAGGAGAGTACAACCAAGCCTCCTCTCTCCTCGAGAATTTGACTAAGGTTTGTTTTGCCAAAAAGTTTTACGTAGTATTACTTTGGATGGAAAAAAATAATGTTTCCAATTTTCCATATCACAATATGATGCAACATAAGAAATGAGATATTCAAACTTAAGAGAAAAGTACTGCAAAACACCGGTTTGTTGTGGTTGTCTAGGACACTGGTTACCAAACTAAAATGTTTTTTTTTTTGGATTAAGTTCATTCTACCGTTTCCATCTAATGGCATGGGAAAATAAAAAAGGTTGTTTTTATTAGAGATTACCACCAGTGTAGTGCTTTAAGCGAGCATGAAGGTTTTGAAATACTTCTGATGATGGATTCAACTCAATGAGCCTATCAACATCAATAAGTGTTGAGTGATACTCGTTGAGAGTGACTAAGGCTTGAGCACATAATGAGGTACATTCATTTGCTGCACACAGAAAGATGAATAATCTCTCAGAATTCAATTAGGGCAGGAAAACAACTACCAGGGCTATAAACATACAATAGAAGTGTTCAGGCATTTAAGTTGGTTCCAAAGTCAGGAATCATTTTATTTAACAGATGCATCTTTCTTTCGGTATCTCCAAACGAATATTAGAGCATCTGTACTTATATTATGAATTACATAAAGAGTTCAAGGAAGTACCCCTATTAAGTTCTTTTGGTTCAAGGACATTAATTTTTTAAGAAACCAAATGTAATCGAGCAAACCAACAATTATTTACCCAAATGTAATGAATAATTTAATCAGTCTTTGCATAGGAACCCCTGAAAATTATAGAGTGGGGCAGTTTTAAAGATGCATTCATTTTCTTCTTGTAAAAAGCGATGCAAAATTTTATGGTAATAAAAGAAATTCATTCAAAATCTGAATTTCACTTTTGCTTAATATATAATATCTTCTGTAATCTATAAAGCTCTAGACATTGACAGAGGGGATTCAACCAATATTTGTTAATACTCTAGTGTTGGTGTTTTGTAGTTTTGCACCTTTTTATTTGATATTCATAATGAATTATTCAAACCTACAAAAATAGCTGCATACACAATTTTGCTTTGTTCTTTTGGTTATATATGCTAAGTTTTAGTGTAAACTCTAAAGCATATTGTTTAATTGAATCCATTCATTCTTGTGTGTGAGTTTATTAAAAATTAGATAACAATTTTATACTCAGCACTTCAGCTGTGAGTTTATAAAAAATCTTCCAAACATATACTACTGCACTTTTTATTTTTTAACATAGCTGATACAGATCTGGATGATAGCATCAGGCAACACAAACTTTAGGAATTCAACTTTATATAATTGCATTTTACCTAAGCATATTATCAAACATTACATATGCCAAATTAAAGAGTACCTATACTATAGAATATAGGTTTAGGTCCATATAACAACATCGAATATGTTTTTTCAATTCATTCAAAACATATAATAAGGCTTGTTCTATTCTCAATTTAGCACAATTTGAGGTATTGAACACAATGAAAATTAGAAAACAATGTCATAACACAACACAAAACAATCACGCTTACTCTAAAAGAAAGCAAACACATCTGATTGAAGGACAGTGTACCATTATCATGTTATAACACAAACTTGGATTGAGTCATTGAGATGAAACCGGAGGACTGAATCAGAATGGTGGGAGCAGTTGACAAAATAAGAACAGAAATATAAATGTTTCTGTAATTCTCCATATCTGACAAAATATGGGTGAGATTTAAGCAACAAATGGAACAAATAAATGAAGAAAAAAGCAGAAAAGAGAACACACAATTGAAAAACTCATGGAAAAATGGAATTTAATCAAGCTTCAAATAGTTAATTGAATAGAGCCATAATCAAAATACCTTGATCGATTATACATGCTAAAGTATATTGATGTCGCCACATGGATGTGTGTGTATGATGGAGCTAATGTATAATGGAGCATCTGCAATTATACCTTGTGGAATTAAGGTCGATGTAGCCACGCCGCCGGAGGAACTAACCATGCTCTATGACTCTATTTTTGAGAAGTTCTATATGGACCTTGATCGAAATACCTTGATCGATTCGAAAAGCTAGAGTGTGATACCTATGGATTCGAACGGTGAGAAGAAATACCTGCAAATGGGAGGAGAGATTTCTGGCGAATAGAAGAGATTGATACACCAAATCCGTGAGAAGGAGATAGCATGAGATATTTCTGGCGAAGAAGAGAAGGAGAAGGTGTAGTCGAAGAGCTAAGCTGAAGCGGAGAAATGCAGCGGAAATTACATTTTAGCCCTAAGCACTGAGCGGCCGGAGAATTTTCTGCCTAGTGCTTTTAGTATAAGATTCCTTCCTCCTCTGATCTTCAGACCAGAAAGGAAGGAAGGCTCCAAAGTCCATCAACACGCTCCGCTGCAACCATCAGGATTCATATTTGTCGACTGACTGACTTCTCCCAACCGACCCCGACGCCCCATCGACTTGCGTCTTCGGACCGGAGTGTGCCTATTTCTCCCCAGACCTCCTTTCTTCTGGTCCAGAGAAACAGAGCTGAGACAGCATGCAGGGGCGGAACCGGGGGGAGAGCCGGTGCCGGCGCCACCCCTTCGCCGGAATGTTTTTAGTACTAGTATTTGGTATTTCGGCCGGCGCCCCATATGCTTCACCTTCTTCCTTGAGATGGAGATCTGCGAACCAGAGTGAACGGCCGGTGCAGTTATTTTTAATTAATTCACTGAACAAAACGACGTCGTTTTGTTATGTGTACAACAAAACGACGTCGTTTGAAAACACATCTGTTATACGCTTTAAACTTCCCGTTCCCCTCATTGCGCGGTTCCTCTTCGCTCGTTCCAGACTTCGTACTTCCGCCTTCGTTCGATCTTGCAGACTCCCGCAGACGCCGTAGACCGCAGTTCAGTTTGTCGCTCCTCCCTCGCGAGTCTCTTCTGATAGTCCCGCAGGCCGCAGTCCCGCCTTCGTCCTCAGTCGCCGGCTCGCCGTCCTCGCGTTTGGACTATCCGTCACAGTTTTGCAGAGTCGCCGCCGGCCGTCCTAGCTTTTTTCTCCAAATCTCCAATCATCCGAAGTAAGGCCAGTTGCCTAGTTTTGCAGTTTGGTAATTACCTTTACATTGAAATCTTTTTTGATTACTTTAATTGCTTAATTTTGCAAGTTTATTGATTAATTGCTTTAAAGTTAAAATTCTTTTACAAGTTTATTGATTAATTAGTTTAATTGCTTTAAAGGGTAATTGATTAATTTCTCGAATTGGTATAACCTTATGAAGTTGAAATCCATTGTGCATTTTTTTTATTAATTAGTTTCATTGCTAGTTCCTTTAAATTTTAATTGATTAAATGCTTTAACTATTTAAGAATTTTATATTCTGTAAGCTTTAATAAAAATTTATATATTTTCATTTTATAATACTTTTAGCCAGCCCTTTATTTTCGTTCTGGTTCCGCCACTGACAGCATGGATGTAGTTTTTGCAACATTGCTGCTCGCTATCTTACTTGGGATCCTCATTCTTATCCCCAGAGTGCGCAAAATTTCCGGTGCGGATTATTTTTCTTCTTTAGTGCTGATATAGCTTCTTCCGCTCTACGTGCTTCATTATGGATGCTGAACCTGTATTTTAAATGGCGCTATTTGGTACATTCTTTTTCGTTTTTTGCTAGATGAACCCAGAAAACTCCAAGCAAATGCTCAAGTGAAGGTGCTGTTTTCCTTCTTCTTTGCTTTCGCCAATTCTTTAGGGATATATACATATATGACCCATTGTTTCATCCCACGAGTTTGTAATGACATAATCTGTTACACATTCTAATAGTAGCTTCAGTTATTTATTAGCCCATTATAGGACACTACTCATTTGCGAGAGAGTGTAGTATGATGTGAGATTAGACATGAATTAATATATTTATCTACTTGCACATCTTGGAAGTTATTGTAATAGCTATTCAGCTTATCAGTGCCACTTTTACAGGAAGTCCTGAAGTGATTGACTACTAATATTGGTTAATTTGTGTTCTTATTATCAGAAATCCAGTTACAAAAGTGATGATCTATATTTGATATTCATGTACAATAAATTTTTTCACTAAGTACTTATTGTATACCTTTAGAATTATTTCCACTTACATGGCAGGATCATAAATATTGCAAGAATACCTTTTTTTCATTAATTTATATGGCTAACCAAATTTACATTATTCTTTCACGCCATAAGAAAGGGATGATGCATTTGAACTATATTGCAAATTCTTTTTCTTTTTTTCTTAAGTTAACAAATTCTTCTTGGTCTTTCGTTTTCAAACTGAAGGTACATAAAGCCTACAGTAAAGCAGAAGTTGCATTGCATAACAAAAGATCTGATTGTTGGATCATTATACAAGACAAGGTTTTCCTGTTAACTTCAAAACCATTCATTTGGTTCCATTTACCTTGCGCGTTCTTTCTGATCTTCTTAGAGTAGTTTATTTCATGTCTTTAAAAAATATAGGTTTTTGATGTTACCTCGTATGTGGAAGAACATCCTGGGGGCGATGCCATATTAGCACATGCTGGTGGTGATTCAACAGAAGGATTTTATGGGTGTGTTATTCCTCATTTTTGTACTCTATACTGTTCAATTATGTTTTAAGATGATTTATAAAAATAATAGGTAGTAGAATATGGGGGCAGTTTGGTGAAAAGTTAAGAGGCCTTAAATGGGGGATAAAAGGCTGATGTTAAGTGTTGTCTTATAGGTGTAGTGAATTTGATTTAGACCGTATTTAGCTCAGGTTATAGAAGTAGAGCTTATTTGAGAAGAGAGTTTTAATTAAATAAGAGCATGTAATTAAGTTATTGAGAGTAAGTTCTCTGGGGGAAGTTATTGAGGGTTTGGCTTGTAATCAAGAAACTGCTATACAACCTGAAAGATTAAGAGCCTGTTTGGTGACACCGAAAAAATGGCTGAATCGGCTGTAAGTGTTTTTCTAAACAAGCTAAACACTTAATTTACTAATAATAACTGTCTTGATTTGAAAGGACCACTATTAACCCTATGAAAATCTATATCAAACAAACTCTAACTCTAATTTAGTTCAAAAGAACATCATTTTGGTATTTTTACAAAATTTAATTTTATAATACTTGGTACTATGTCAATGTTGTGATTGAAAATATAATAATGTATATGTATAAAATAAAAAATTTAGAGCAATTTTTTATTTAAAAAAGGTACAAAGTCAAGGAAAGAAACCAATCCTCTGAATTATTGCCCCTAATAATTGTTCTGAATTCATTTGAGGTTTTCCATTTGTTTTCCTAATCAGAACTTTTATTGGCATTGTGTTGCATGGTTACCATATTGTTCTGATGGTGCTTTCCATATTGGTGTCATTTTCCAGGCCTCAACATGCCTCCCGAGTATTTGAGATGGTTGGCGAATTCTGCATAGGAAAACTGGAAAAATAATCAACCTGCAAATGGTTTGGGCAACACCACTTTGTCATTTCATACATTCTTGTGCTCACTTGATCTTTCCTCATGCTGAATCATTTCCATCTCACTAATCAAGTGTCATGTATATCATTTGCTGCGTTTTAACATTCAAACAAGCTTATTTGATCATCTACCCTCCATTATACTAATTCCTCTTCACTCATATTGACGGCCTATTTTTCAATAAGTTTAGTAACCCACTGGTTTGGTAGCTATTTTGGCTAGTCCAACTTGTGCTCCTTGAGATCATAATACATCTTTGTTATTTTGGTCTTTACCATGTCAACTGTCAAGTATTTTTTTGCCCGGCCTGGCTTTCTTTGGCATGAAATGTTACTAGGGTTGTTTATGGTCTGGAGATCTACTCATTTAGCATCATTTATGTTTCTTGACTTTTAAATAAGTGACTCGTTGCACACACACGCACACACATAATGCTATTTATTGTGATAAAACTAGCCCATAGTATGTAAAATTAGTTAATACTCCGTAACATTTATCGACTCCGAATCCAAAATGTGATTAGAGCATCAGATGATTGCCATCTTCCACCTAAGGCTTCTTTTTTTAACAACCCCCCCCCCCCCCCCCCCCCCCCTGCTTTGGACTCAACCTAATCACATACAGGATTGGTGATTTGGTGTTTACCACCAAGTGATACCGCATGAGTAAAACTGTAATACCATGCAATTCTACATCATAACGAGACTTATTAAAGCACAAAAAATTAAGCGCGCTTAAGTTAGGAGTGGACTCGGGCCGGGCCAACCGGCCCGGAACCGGACCGGCCCGCTACTGTGCGGACCCGGACCGGCCCGGTGAACCGGTTGGTTGACCGGTTCGGGCCACCCGGCCCGGTGGGATGGCGGTTCAGGCTCGGGCCCTTCAAAAGGTGAACCGGCCCGCCCGGTTCGGGCCCGGGCCGGGCCAATTTATTATTATTATTATTATTATTATTATTATTATTATTATTATTATTATTATTTTGATTTTTTTTAAAATTTTTGGGTTGGGCTGGGTATTTTAGGCCATTTGAGGTGGTTAGGGTTGGTTTGGGGGTGAGGGGGGAAGGTTGGGGGTTAACTAGGAAAAGCCAAAAAAAAAAATTAGAACCGAGGTCCGGCCCGGACCCGGGGGTTACCCGGGCCGGTTCCGGGCCTCCCCTTCATGAACTGAGGCCCGGCCGGGCCCAGGCCTGAACCGGAACCGGTCCACCCCTAGCTTAAGTGCACACGACGAAGGTGCATGAGAAAGCGTCAAACATCAATTTTTTCAAATTTTTATGACTCAGGGTTTGGTCGTTCTACTTCCTTTTCTAATACCGAATGCCACAACTTGTCTTTTGCTCCTCTTTCTCCTTCGACGTCTCTGGGTTTATTTTAAGTGTTTTGGTTCAATTTATATCTTTGTAGAAGATGGCATTAAATAATTAGGTTAACGACTCTTTACATCAAATAGTATAATGCAATCCAGATATAAATCTTTAATGAATCCAGTTTACTCCATTAATACCTTAAAATCATAAAATATAAATTACAACCTATAATGTGTACTAAAGTACTACTAAATCTGTCCCGAATTGATTTGCAAAATTGATTTATCTTGGTCAAACAATATCATTTTGTTCACTCAATTAGGATGTTAATTTTTAATTATATTCTAATTTGGAGTTTGCAACTTTGAAGATATTTTAATGTATTTTCTGAATATGTAAATTTTAATTATTAAAAACTAAATTAGTTATCAATATGGAGGATTTAACTTTAACATTGGTTGAGAAAAAAATGTTGAGTTTGCAAATCAATTTGGGACGAAGGGAGTAATATATTTCTATTAGACTTCATAAAATTTGAAAAATTGGTGCAATTAGTTGCTACCTTATTCGTTTTAGCGGTGAAACCCCATCCCATATCCAGTTTTAGAGGTTCTCGCTTTCATTTTTGGCCGATTATAGCGAACTTGAATATTGTATTTTTACGCTTAAATGATACATATAAGTACATAACAAGTAGAGTCGACACTATATTAGAGCCGACATAGACAAAAGTCTTGACAATGTTTCACTCGGATTTGTTTTCCAGTGACTCTCCATCTCCGATTGTTTTTCTAATCTTGGAAGATAATAATTACGTAAAGAACATGGAAGATGACATGTGAGAAAGATGAAATGCGATCAAGAAAAAATATGATAAAGGTATAAGATGACGCACGTCTGGAAAATAATGCATGTGGAAGATAATGGAGATGGTGAAAATGATGAAATAGTGAATCTGAGCAAGTACGGTTGTACGAATGGGAGGGAGAAGAGGTAAAGAGAGAAGAGAGGATGAGAGGAGAAAGAGAAGATAGGTAAAAAAGGAGAATTTATAGTGTGTGCTAAATGTGTATACATTTTGTGTAAACCCGAATATTGTTGTTGGGAAAAAGACTTGAGAATTGGAATTGGTCCATAATTTATCAGAGAACCAAACACCGGATCAGGTATGGTATAAGTCAGTTATGTACAAAAGTATTTGAACCAGGAATCGACCAATCCAAAACAAAAAATAATTAAATAAAAGATATATACTTATGTTCAATAGTTGATACAAGTGCTGCTAACTTTAGAAAGTGGATTAAATTAAATCATTTGGAGTAATAAACTTATACGGAGGAAAATTGGGAAAAGTGAGGGTGAAGAAGGTAAAAATAAAGTTAAACCGGGTAATAATATGAGAATCACAATTTGCTTATATTTATTTCAATATAATTTTTTACTATAGAATTTCATACAATATTTAAAAGAAAAGTATAAGGATAATGAATAGTATAGAAAAGTAGAAGAGATAATGGAAAAGTATGAAATAGGAGATAGAAGAGTAGAAAAAGTAAGGGTAGTGGAGTTTAAAAAAAAAAACAACTTACCAAAAATCGAAAACATCACTATAATTAAAACACAACTAGGGGAGAGCACGGGTCGGGTTCGGGCGGGTCGGATGTGCGGACACAAAACCCGTTCGGATTGTATAATGTACATCTTGAACCCAACCCACTGAATTTGGATGTCGGGTTTTTTGGATATTAGAATATCGGTTATTTTCGGATATCAGATCGGATATCGGTTACTTCGGTTATACTTAAAACACATTGAAATTGTATAATTACGAAATGTCAAAGTACACAATTACAATTAAAAATAGACCAAGTTGGTACTCCAACTCCATAAGTTGTTACTTGCAGTTGCATAATTACAAACTACATACTTAAATTACAAACCAAGCACAAAATCAGTAAATAGAAAGTAGTTAGCAAAAAATATAAGGTTATCTCCAAAGTTTACAAAAAATAGCAAAACCAAGTACAAAGCTGTGAAGACACTTTCCAGTTTCCACTAGATCACTACTCCAAGTCTCGTCAACTCCATAAGTTGCAATCCGCATAGTTGCATCTTCCACAAGTCCAAAACATTTGCTTTTACATTTTAATCATGCACATATAATAAATCACAATTCAAATATCATAAATCAATAAATTCATAATCACAATTCACAAAGTATTAAATATTGGTTCAGATTGCTTCTTGTCAATTCAAACCAGTTGGGGGCATCCAAAGTAGACAGTGGTAGGTTTCAAGCCATCTAAAACTCGGCCACTAGTATAAAAGTGGATTGAGAAGCAACTGTGGAGATGGGAACAACAAGAATATCTCTAGCCATTTTTAAGAGTATAGGTAATCTTTGACTGTTTAATTTCACCATCTTAATATATCAAACTCTTTATCTTCCTCAAGAATAGCCTCACTCAAATAAATTTTCAACTCAATTTATTTTTAAGCCCAACTGACCACTCTCTAGTTTCTGTTTTTGTGATACCCCGAAAATTTAAACAAAAATAAAATAAAAATAAACCAGATAAAATATATTTGGCATATTAAATGAAAATAAATGTTAAAATATTATAAGTAACTTTATAAACACTACCACTGTTAGCAAACATGTTAAAATTATAAATGGACATTTTGTACTTCATGACTGATTTGGTCTAGACTGAAAATGTAGAAACAGTATGTAATATCTACTTCCAGCTCAGGTCTCGTCCAAATTTCACCCACAAAGGATGAAGAACACCACTAAAATCACTAAGGGGAAAGGGGCGTCAGCCAACAGGCTATTTTCCGGCCAAATCAAAGGGATGCTCCACAGAGGAGCAAGGGACGGAATCTGTGTGTGGAATAGGGTTTCTATTCGCCCCCTAAAGCAGAAGAACGAGCAATATATAGGCAAAGCTCAGGAATCAGAATGGTAAGTTTCCTTACCAAGAAGATACGCAATTAACTGAGCAAAGAGGCAGAGGAAGGAAATCGTCCAGGCTGAAGTGCAAACAGGTAGAAAGAAAAAGTGTTGGGCCGGGTGCATCCACAAATGAATTGGGCTTATAAGAAAAGAGTTGGGCCAATACCTTACACAATGTCCACCTTATTGGACCCTAGTGGTGTAGAACGCAAAGCTCTAAAACAATTCGACACTCATCATCGCTGGATTGCCCGAATGATCACAAAGACACATTCAGGCAAAAAAAGAGTAAGATCACCAAGCAACTTATCTGCAATTAATGTTTAACGTGCACTTGCACGGCAACAACTTTTCGACAGAGAGACATTTAGTCTCCATGTCAGCAGGATTAAATTCAGATGGAATTTTAATCAACTTGATATCACATGCACTAAAAATATCACGTATAAAATGAAATCTAACATCAATATGCTTAGTTCTATCATGAAAAACAGGGGTTTTGCACAGTTGAATAGCAGATTGACTATCAGAAAACAAACAAATGTCCTGCTTAAGACTACCAATCTCCGTTAGGAGACGTTTAAGCCAAATGGCTTCCTTGAACGCTTTGGTAGTGGCCACATACTCGGACTCAGTAGTGGATAGGGCAACTATGGGTTGAAGTTGAGACTTCCAACTAATGCAGGACCCGCAAAGGGTAAACGCATAAGAGGTAATGGATTTCCTATTGTCTCTATCGTTAGCAAAATTCGAATCCACATACACACTCAACTTAACACCCTTAGAACACCTAGTGAAAATCAACCCATGATTAACAGTAGATTTAAAATACCTAACCAATCACTTAAGAGCATTCCAATGAGGTAAACTTGGGTTAGACATATACCTACTCAAACAACTAACATCATAGACAATGTCGGGTGTAGTACTCACCATGAGATACATCACGGACCCAATAGCATTGGAATAAGGCACAGATTTCATTTTATCAATTTCACGAACAGTCTTGGGAGACTGATCCTTACTTAACACAAAGTGGGATGCCATAGGGAGAAACGGGAGTAGCATAATGCATGTTATATTTACTCAAAATCTTTTCGATCTATGAAATCTGATTAAGTACTAACACA